TGAGCAGAAAAGAAATGCCCATAAAAAACAGCTCTTGCCATTTTTACTTGCCCTCCCTTGACCTGAACTGACAAGAAAATAATGAAAACATGAACCCCCCGCCCCACCCCCCCAAAGCATTCATGGACTGATTGTGTGTTTGTGTGTGTGTGTGTCTAAGTGAGGCTCTAGGTTGACTCTCGCTACCCCACTGAGCCAGGGTGCTTCTTACCCTGGATCCAGAGCAGGAACAGGCAGAGGAGCGGTGCGTGGGAGACCATCCTGCAGTGTCTGGGCTGAGCAGCACTGAGCAAGATGCCCTGGAGGCTGCAGCAAGGGACTTGCTTTATAACTGCCCAGAGCAGCTGAACACTCTCAGTCCTCCTGGGATATGCAAAGTGTCTCGTCTGAGCCCTGGAGTCATGGACTCAGCCCTGCAAATGCAGCCTGGGTCTGTGTGCAGCAGTTCAGATCTGCCTTCCTCCCTCTTCACAAACAGCTGCATGGACTCAGCTGCAACAGGACACTCCAGGTGATGTCTATGTCTGTGGTCATGAGTGACAGGTGCCTCTTGAATCTGGGGAGGGGGCACCCGCGCCGATGGTAGTGGCCCTGTCAGCATCAGTGTCAGCCATTGGGGGGGCACGTGCACCCCTGTACCCCCACTACCAGTTGCCTATGACTGTGGAGCTGCCTCTGCTGTTGCTGGGGACCGTCATTGCTGTAGTTCCCTTGTACTGTGCAGCGTGTGGGACCTGTCACCCAGGCACACAGAGAGGGAAGGAAACTTTGGAGTGAGTGCCGGTCCCGTCACACAGACACGGCTGGTTCATGCCTTTAGAGTAGGTGTAAATGCAAGCATGTGGTTCTGGAGAATACATCCTGATGATTTGAAACCATGTGAGCTCTTGGGATATATACCTCAGGTCCAAAACATCCCCTTAGTGCCCCCACCCTGTTGGTAACCCTCCAGGGAGAGCAGCACTCATGGAAATGCCCTTTAATTTAGTTCAGTCTTTGTTTTAAATCAGAGCTGGACTCACAGATCTCAAGTCCAGAAGGGGTCATTGAGGTCACCCCCCGCCAAACTCTATGTGCTTGATGTGACAGTGCATCTTCTTGGACCTGGAAACCAAGCTGATGCTCTGGAGTGACTCTGTCCCCGTGTCTCCCTGTCTGTTGCTGGTTTCCGTACATCCTCTACATTGTAACACAGAGGCTCTGTGGTATTTTACCCTTGTCTGGCCTATCAATGCCCCCCAACAACCCATGACAGTGAAGTGGTGACTTGGACCACCCCCCCTCCGCCTGCCCCAGGGGCTGGGCAGGGAGGCCGGTGTGAGGCCGGGGCAGCAGCAGCAGGCGTCGTAGTGTGCACACAAGTGGCTTGTCCATCTGTGCAGTGCCCGGTGTGTGCATGAGGGGCACTGGGGCATCCTGACCCTGCCTGCGCTGTCCTCCCTGTGTCTGTGTGGGGAGAGTGCTCTGGCCTGGAGGCCCCTGCACTTAGGCCATGACAATGCTACACGTGTTCATGGCATGGGGGTGGTACTACTATAGCTCTGCCTGGTGCAGCCACCCACACTGCACACCAGCCCTTCTCTTGGGGGAGGATCATCCATCCAGGAGCTGATGGCAGTGACCCCTGTAGGACCACTGCAGGCTAGGAGTGCTCAGTCTGCCAGGGCAGAGCTAGAGGGGCAGGGAGGGGCTGGGGGTGAGCAACCCCCGTGCTCTCCAGGGCCAGCAGGACCAGATGCAGGGGCTTGTTGGGGCATTCAGAGTAGGGGCAGCAGCAGGGTGGCTCTGTTGCTACAAAGCCGTGGCTGGTACAAGGCCATGGGCTGCTCTGTGTTGCCATGTGAGGGGAACACATTGTCCTGCTGCAACAAGCATCTCCCCATTGCCTGCTCTGGCCCTGCTGGTGTCAGAAGTGAGGACAGAGCCCAGACCTGCGAGGTCCCAGCAGGACAGGGAAGGCAGCAGGAGTGCGAGGGCAGGAGCTTGTGCTGGTGTCAGGCCAGCCTGGGGGTGAGAGGAACACTCTGCACACCAGAGCAAGGGGCAATTTTATCCCTTCCTGTTGCTACAGGCATCTGTGACAGCCCGTGTCCCCCTGAGTTACCTGTACAGGTGAGGGCACTCCTGGGGTCTTTGGCCAATGTGCCTTCTCGTTGTGCCACAGGGTTGATTTGGGTAGTTTTAGGGAATAGGTTAGATAGGGACTTGGATGGAAGGGTTTGGATGGCAATGACCCTGCCTCAAGCAAGGATGGACATTGAGGGCCCTTCCAGCCTGACCTGTCTGTGATGTTAGGAGGCCCCCAAGGTGTGCAGGATCCTGGCTGTTCAGTGCCACTGAGAAAGGATCCAGCAGCTCCTCAGGCTGGGAGCTGAGGCCTGGGTGGAGAAGAGGACTTGCCAAGGCCATGCACAAGGTCTGTGGGGAGCTGGGATGCAACCTTTTAGAGGGCAGGGTTAGTGCCCAGCCACTGGCCATCGCCATCTCCTCACCAAGTCCTGGTGTGGGCAGGACATGGTACGGCGTCATTGGAGCAAATCATGCAGATCAGTTTGAGAGACATGGGTGGTGGCAGGGATCTTGGGATGTGAGTTTGCAATGAAAATCTGAGCCTGGGGAGAGAGGTGATGGGTGAAAAGTCATAAATATGGGAGCACCTGACCCTGCTGTAATGGGGCAGCAGAGTCACTGGCCTGTGGCTGGGCAGGAAGCAGCTGGTGCCGGGAGCAGCAGAACTGAGCAGAGCAGGGAGGTTTTTGTACGGGGCTGTAGCACTGTGAGTCATAGGTTGTTGTGCTGTAGACAGTAATAATCTCCTGCATCATCCACTTCCACACGGCTGATGGTGAAAGTGAAGTCGGTGCCAGACCCACTGCCACTGAACCGGTCGGGGATCCCGGAGGGGCGGTTGTTTGTTCCATATAAAAGTTGCTTAGGAGCCTGCCCTGGTTTCTGCTGGTACAAGGCCATGTTGCTGCCAACACTGGAACTGGCTTTGCACTTGATGGTGACTGTCCCCCCGGGAGTCACTGCCAGGGACTCTGGAGTCTGAGTCACAGCAATGTCCCCGCTGGAGCCTAAATGAGGGAACAAAGGAAAAGCAAGTCTAAAATTTAAATGAAATACTGACCAGCGGAAGGAGAGGAGACCTAAATCAAAAATCTTTTTTTTTTTTTACTAACCATTAGTATTTTTACTACTGGAGATGGAGAATAGACTTACTAGCGTCCCATATTTATTGTCTACATCTGAGAAACTACCAATGGTTTTGGGCTGCTCCCTCCCTGCTGCTGCCCTTACCCTTTGCCCAGAGCACGAGGAGCCAGAGGAGCTGAGTCTGCCACAGCATCTTGCTGCTTCTGCACCGACTGGCACGGAGCTGAGAGACACCAAGCGTTAAACCGGCCCCTTTATAGCTGCTCCCCAGAGCAGGGCGCAGGCACTGGGGCAGCCATATGCAAACTAGCAGCTCTATACAAAACTGCCTTCCCTGGGGCCCAGCACAGAGACAGCAGGGAAGAGGCAAGAGTCAGCCCTGCTCTGCGAATATATACATGATTGACAGAGTGAGAGGCCATCACTGCATCCTTACCCAGCTCACTTGTCTGGTCCAGGGCATCCCGTGTGACAGATGCAGAAGAGTGGAGGAGTTTGGTTTCTGTTCTGGTCCTGCTCATACAATGGCCAACACAGACTGTTTGAAATGCCTCTGGGAACAGTGTGATAATTGTACTAGGAAACAGAAAGATGTTGGAGGCTGAGGACCCAAGGTGGAGGGTGGCAGGCCCCTGGAATAGGAACAGGAACAGGAATAGGAGTAGGAAGGGAAGTCACCCTAATGGCGTGACAGTAGAAGACAGCTCCATGCAGAATTATTATTTCTGCTGTTCCTGTTGCCTTGAAGTTGCATACAAATGAGCACAGAGCCCCTAGACTAGCAACAGTGCACAGTGCAGGAGCGTCTCTGAGCTGGGACCTCTTCCTGCCCTGACTTCCCATTTCCCTTTGGATTTGGCTTTTCCCTGGAATCCAGGAACCAGCCCCGGGGTGCGCTGAGCCTGCGAGTGCAGCTTTGTCTGTCTGTTGATAATGACTGAGTATGTCAATGATGCCCAGGGGTAAATCAAAATCCTGACTGGTCCTGAGCAGCAGGAAAGGATCAGACCAATGAAGGGAAATGGATCTGTCTGGAGTGATTGAAATCAAGGCTCTTTGGGTCACTTGATCAGTGCAAGGTATTAATCTCTTGACACAGGTAGTTATGTGAAAACTTGACATGGCCATGCCCATGCCCATGTCTCTGGGGCCCAAGGAGGATGGGGAGGCTGCTGCAGTGAGGACGGCAGGGACTTGTCCTGGCAGTACTGCGCCAGGCCAGGCAAAACCTGGAGTCCCTGTTGTCTATCGAAGAAATCCCCAATCAGGCCAGAATGTGAAAGCTGAAGTCCTGGCTATCCATGTTAGCCACTCATCTCAGTTTACAGCTCTGCACCAAACTCGCTATTTAAGCCATTCTTTCTCCTGCTGCTGCCCTTACCCTTTGCCCAGAGCACGAGGAGCCAGAGGAGCTGAGTCTGCCACAGCATCTTGCTGCTTCTGCACCGACCGACACGGAGCTGAGAGACACCAAGCGTTAAACCAGCCCCTTTATAGCAGCTCCCCAGAGCAGGGCGCAGTCACTGCTTTGCTCTGACAGAAAACACCACCTCCTCTGTAGAGATATTCAGGACAACACACAATGTGCCCAAGAGATTTCTCAGGTCCACGGTTTGGCAACCATGGACCAGGGTGACTTGAGGGGCCCAGAGGCCAGCTCTGTCCGGGTTTAGGGATTATATCCTTTGTTGGCACTGTCCTTGAGTTGCTGGCCCCAGCCCCAGTCCCCCTCTGGTTTTTCTCATGGTCAGTGCAAAAATCCTGGTCTCTTCTCAGGAGTTCATTCACATCCCACTGGAGGATGAGCACTACTCTGCATGTTCACACCTCTTACCCCGTCCATCCGGGCATGGTGCTGTACTGCCCACGTGCCCCTCATGTGCCTCTGAACATCCTATATGAGTCTGGCACTGTCCTGTGCTCAGGACTTTTGGCTTCTGGTCTTTGCTGGCTGCCAAATGGAGCCCAAAAGGGATTTTCCCTCTGGTTGATGCAGGTGTCTGTGGGATTTTATTGCCTTCCTTTGCGGTGTTGTGTGTGGGCTGCAGCCAAGACTGGGGACTTTGACTGGGCTGTGCCAATGCTCCTGTTGTGCTAACGCCCAGAGGTCCCTGGCTGGAGGGTCTTGCCCCTCAACTTAGGATCATACTCATCATGACATTTGGGGTCAGGGAGGACTTTTACCCCATGGCAGGTTGGTACAGACTGTCGGGGGTTTGCTTTCCTCTGTAGTAGGGGACTGGTCCTTGCCCTGGGATCTCTCAAACCTATTTTTAAAGCCCTTGCGGCAGCAGGGCCACCCCCTCCCGCTGCTTTACCTGTGGCACTTTAGGGTGCTTTGCCTGGTGGTGGTGCAACAGGGTAATGGTGTAGTTTTAGTAACTGGTTAAACAGGGATTTATATGGGCTGGCTTGTATAGGGATAATTCTGCCTCAGGGGTGATGTTGGATTAGACGGCCTTTGGTGGTCCTTTGCAGCCCATCTTCTCCATGTTTCTGTGAACAACGGCAGCAACAACGTAATGACTGTTGTAATTCAACAGTGAGTTTACAAAGTGCATGGAGGGGAGAGCAGTGAGCAGAGTCCATCTTCCCCCTCCCAGCCCATATGTACCGCACAGAACGTGTGCTACATCGTATTGCCCCATCGGGCCAGTGGGAGATTGCATGTGCTTGCTATCATGAAACAGGCCGTACCAAGGCAGCGCTGACAGCAGAGCAACATTTTAAGAATCGCTGGAAAGGAGATCAGTGACAGAGCGGAAGAGATAACAGGTGAAGAGCTGTGACTGTGGCCGGCACCTGGCGATGCTGTACCGGGGCAGTGAGTCACTGGCCTGGGACCCTGTGCAGGAAGCAGCCAAACTAAGCAGAGCTGGGAGTTTTCTGTATTAGGCTGTAGCACTGTGCGAGGGGAATAGCCCTGTTGACAGTAATAATCTCCAGCATTGTCACCTTGAACATGGGTCATAGTTAAAGGGAAGTTGGTGCCAGACCCCCTGCCACTGAACCGGTCGGGGATCCCCGAAGGGTGGTTGCTTATGCTGTAGAGAAGGAGTTTAGAAACTTGCCCTGGTTTCTGCTGATAAAAGTGCATGGAGTTGCTAAGACTTGGGCTGGTTTTGCACTCAATGGTGACTGTGTCTCCTGGAGACACTGCCAGGGACTCTGGAGTCTGAGTCACAAGCACGTCCCCACTGGAGCCGGCATGGGTGAAACAATCCACAGGGACAGGAGATCAGACAGCTCAAATGCAGCAATGTTTGGCAAAGGGAATGTGCTTTTGTTTTCAAGTCCCACAAGTTTCTTTTAGACAGATCATTTCAAATTCTGCCTGAAGGGATCACGACACGACTGGAGACTGTTCTGTGGAGAGTACAGGGCACTGTCCATCTTTCTGTCCTGCTTATAACATGCCCATCGGCCTCCTATCTTTGCACTCTCTACATCAGTGCTCACTAACTCTCAGCAGCTCCCAAATCCTGAGCTGCTCCCTCCCCTGCTGCTGTCCTTGTGCTTTGCCCAGAGCACGAGGAGCCAGAGGAGCTGAGTCTGCCACAGCATCTTGCTGCTTCTGCACCGACTGACACGGAGCTGAGAGACACCAAGCGTTAACCTGGCCCCTTCATAGCTGTTCCCCAGAGCAGGGCGCAGTCACTGGGCCAGCCGTCTGGGGAACAGCTAGACGACAAAGCAGAGTCTCTATGTCCAGATGCCTTCCCTGGGGCCCAAGGCAGAGCCTGCAGGGAAGGTGCTAGACACAACCCTGCTCTGTGAGAGCAACAGCATCCTGGGCTTCAGTCCCCTTGCACCACATTGGGAGACACGGTGACGCCAGCAGTCTCTGCTCCTGACCCCTCTCTGCCCGCAGCTGCAGCGCGGGTGACTGTCAGGGGCAGGGGAGTTGCCCTTCAGCTTCTCTGCTGTCAGCGAGAAGCAGCTTCATGCTGTTCATCAGTTAAATATCTCAGTTGGCTTCTCCCAGAAGACGATTCATCACACAGGGCGGGCACTGAAAGGCTTGTAGGAGGCTGGATGACACAAGCCCTGCTGGCCCTTTGCCCCGTGCTGGGGGTCTCCCTGTGACCGGTGCAGCGTGAGGAGGAGGGGCTGCAAACCACTGCCATGGTTGCTGGAGCATGCGAGTGGAGACCAAACAGGGCATCAGCGGGGGCTTCCCTGCTCCCAGGCTGCCTCTCGCTCTGGGCCGGGACAGCCAGGGCAGCTGATCCCCCTCGGTGTGTCCCTGATGCCTGGCCCTTGTGGCGGGCCAGTACGAGGTGCTCCTGCATGGAGCCACCCACCTCACTGTGCCTGACCACCTTCCAGGCTCTGAGTGCCTCCCGGGGTTGCCTCACATCTGGCCAACCCCCTTCCAGGAGCACACTCGCTAGCCTGGGGTAAAAACTGCCACCACCCAGAGATGGGCTTTACTTTGGCTCTGTGCACCCTGGGAAACACAGGCCTAGTAGCCCTCGAGGGTACCTGCCTCACTTCAAGCACTTGGGGGTGCTTCTCTTAGTCGGAAGCACAAATAGGGGTCTCCCTTAGTCAGCTGAACCAAGGGGACCCCAAGACGTAATCTAGACCCACACCCAATAAGTCTCCCATGCTAGGTACAAAGGAGAACATCACTAGTTGCTGGGCAGACTGGCAGTTCCTAGCTCCCCAGGGAGCCCATGCCCCTCACCCAGGTATGTGATACCAGTCACCTAGGCAGAGAGAGCAGGTTTCCCCCCTCCCTCAGGAATGTATCCAGCTCAGGTTACCTAAAGAGATAGGGGAAGGTGTGTACCCTCTGCTGGGCCCATCTTAACCAAATGGTCACAGAGCAGAGTTTTTGGGGAGAAACAGAGGTGGCATTCTGCCACAGACCCCTCCTGACCTCTCATTGTCCCTCTTTGCTCTCAGCTCCTCACTGGCTGAGGGCTGCGGTCATAGTACCATGCAACCATGGAGGAGGAGGGCCGGGAGGGACCCTAGTCCTACAGGTCACCTAGTCCAACCTCCCACCTGAGGCAGGATCCTTGTCCAGCCCATTATCAAAACCACTCAGTCAAATGATCACTGCAAGGCTGTTCCCTGCCCTCAGCACACAGCTCTGCTCTCCCCAGGACAAGCCCCCTCCCCAAGACCCAGCTCCCCTCTCCCCACACCCCATACTCACCCCCCAGTGCTGTGGGGCAGGGAGCA